TGTTTCCTATCACAGTGTCTACCATGCAGTTAGATATCAAATATCTGTTAGTTGATTGGCACATGAAATAATCAGAGTCCAGTTGCATAGCAGTTCAATTCAACAGACTTTTATTGAGAACCTCCTATATGCAAGGAAATGTTCTAGGTACTGAAGGAAAATGAAACACTGTCCTTGCCCTCAAGAAACTCATGGAGATGGCATAGATTGGGGATAAACATAAACATAGATGAAAATAAAGTATTTTACAAACCAGAAAGCAGAGTATGAATGTGTGATAATATTTTTTGGATTATAAAAGTAAGTACAAGATAATCTGAGGCATGAGAAAGCATTAAAAATTAGAAAGTATTGATTCCTTCTTGAATCTTTGCATTGTTTCCTATTTTGTATATGTACTAAAGGAGACAGAAAAAGATCATGTACATCAAAACTTCATTTATGTAGGGAACATGTAGGGAAACTATGTCCACGTAAGTTAACATTCCAGATAATTAATACTTACTGATTTAGGGGGCAAAACTTTAAATAATCATTTTGATGACTACTTTAAAAATACATCTTTGCAAATATGAGATGATTGGAAAGCTACTTTTAAAAAAATATTTTTTGATGCCTTTCTTTTTCATGTGATCAACACTTCCTAATTGCCCTCTGCACCTTCCTTGGCAACAAAGAAGTATAGTTAAACAAAACAAACCAACCTATTGGCCACGTCTGCCTTCCTAGCTTTCCTCAGCAGAGCATGCCTAACGTAACTTAACCTTTTTTAAAAAAAATGATTTGAGGGTTGTTATGATGAACATCCATTCCTTTTTTGTGCCAAAGTAAAGGGGTTCTTATTTTTCTTAGTACTTATTGAGGTGCATAAAGCTCTTGGTCTCTACACTAAATGATCCTAGACCACCAGGCTTTCTGAGCTTTTGTAGCTGCTTATTAATAATTTTCCCAATTTTCGTCTTTCTCATCAAGCTAACATCATTTTTTAAAAAATTAACTTCTATTTTTTCAATGAATGAAAATCCACCTTCTTTCCCTCTCAACTTCTCCTCCCCATTGAAAAAGAAAAATTCTTCTAACAAATGTGCGCAGTCAAGCAAAAACAGTTCAATTGTTTGCCAAGTCAAAAAAATGTCTCAGTCTGAGTCATTTTGAGTTAGTCTGCACCCTGAGTCCATCACCTCTCTGTTAGGAAGTGGGTGGTATGTTTCCTCATGAATGGTCTGGGATTATGGTTGGTCATTGCTTTGATCAGAGCTCTGAAATCTTTCAGAATTGCTTGTCTTTTCAATGTTGTTATTGTACACATTAGTTTCTTTGTTCTGCTCACTTTACTCTGCATCATTTCATACAAGTCTTCCCATGTTTCTCTGAAACAATCCCTTTCACACAATAGTATCTCATCATATTCATGTGCCATAGTTTGTTAAGCTATTACCCAATTAGTTCCCAGTGCTTTGCCACAACAAAAAGAACTGCTATAAATATTTCTCAAAAAGCCAGAAGATCTGTCTCCAGCACCCTCCCATTTCTGCTCTTCTAAGGCACTCTTTTCAATCTGTGATGATTTGATGAACCAGATAACCAAGCTTGTTATAATGTAAAATATGTAAAATTAGAGTAAACAGGCTCTAAATGAGGAGTTGAGGGACCTTTCTTATGACTAAAATGCATGAACTTTAATTGCGTGGATTTTGGCTGATCCAAGGCCTCCCTGGTTGCTTTTAAGTTCTATTTTGAGTTATGGTTAATTGCATTCACCAAATGTGAACTCAGGAGAAGTGAGGTCACATTGTAAATAGACTAAACATTAATTCCAAGAGTCTACAGAATGAGAGAGTGAACCTTGGGGTGGGGCTGGTTTTTTGGAGGAGGTGAGTATTGAATTAGTTCTTCAATAAAATAAAGCTCATCTACTGAAAGAGAACAATGGGGAGAGGGCAGCTTTTCGGTTAGAAGGCTTAGGAAAGGCATGGATGTATGAAGGACAGGAAGGAAGCTGATTTGATAAGTATTCTGCCTCCCCATTAGGAAGAAATGAACTTGGAAAGCAGGTAGAAGTCAGTGGGTGGATGCCATGCTAATTGGTTCAAATTTGATATGATGGGTTATTGTAACTCATGGAGCAGGGGAAGAATGTGTAAACTGAGAGTGATTTTTCTAGGATACACTTGACTTGTAGGATGAACTTCTTATTGATTTATAAACATTTGTAATAATATTAACTGGCATTTAGATAACACTTATAAATTCACAGAATGCTTACATATATTATCTCACTTGTTAGGCAGCCCAATGATAAGCTGAAGTATACCTCTATCTTGTCAGACGGAGGGCAAGCTGGAGACAACTCTGTCATTTAGAAATCATGACATATCAGATAGGTTGAAGGAAATGGGGCTTTTTAGGTAAGAGAAGCCTAAGTGTGGGAGCATGATAGTCGTCTTCAAGTATTCGAATGGCTCTCATATGGAAGGTAGGATTAGGCCTATTCTGCTTATCCTCAGAGGGCAGAGTCAGGAGTAATTGGGGGGGAGGAGGAGGAGGGAGTTTCAGAGACAGATTTCTGCTGGATATAAGGGAAAACTGGCTGACAGTCACCCTGGCCCAGAGTGGAATGGGTTCCCTCAATAGATAATCCATTTTTCTTCCTGTAAGGTTCAAACAAAAGCTAGATGGCCACTTGTCGCTATGATATATAAAGAAATTCTTGTCCAGTTTTGGATTGCACTGAATGGCCTTTGAGGTCTTTGCCAACTCTTATATTCTATGAATCCAGGAATCCCAACAACTGTGTAAGGTAGGTATAACATATATTATTAGACCTATTGGAGGCTTAGGCATTGGACCTGTGATTTCATTGAGAAAGGCAATTCCTGGTTAAAGGAACTCCCTCTACCAATGCAGGTGAACACCTTTTCTGCAGCTTATATAAGGCAACTGAAATTCAGAGAAATTAAATGACTTGCCAGTAGCTATCCAGCAAATGTGTGCAATCTTGCAAGAGGCAAGATTTGAATTCAGGTCTTAACTGAATTTAAATCCAGCACTCTGGCTTACTGTATTCTGGGTGATATAAATTAAGGATTAAAAGGACATATTTATTGTCTGCTAGGAAAAGACAGGACAGCTACGTGGCAGGGTGGATAGAGTGATGGGCCTGGAGTTAGGAAGACTTGTCTTTCTGAGTTCAAATCTTGCCTCAAACACTTACTAGCTGTGTGATTCTGGGTAAGTCACTTAACCCTGATTGCCTCAGTTTCCTCATCTGTCAAATAAGCTAGAGAAGGAAATGGCAAACCACTCCAGTATCTTTGCCAAGAAAACCCCAAATAGGGTCACAAAGAGTTGGACATGACTGAAAACAACTGAACAACAACAAGGAAAAGGCAATCTTGTCAAAGGTAGGGAGCAAGTAGAGATAACAGCAAGTATTCAATAGAGGGAAGACCTGTATTAGAGACTGCCACCTGCTGGAAATAAAAGGCCTCATGCACACAGAGCTAAGGTGCCAGCTTTACCCCAAGGGATGTCCTAAGAGGGGTGGAGAACCTTCGGCCTCGAGGCCACATGTGGCCTTCTAGGTCCTCGGGTGTGGCCATTGGACTGAGTCCAAGTTTTACAGAACAATATTTTTATTAAGGGGATTTGCTCTGTTAAGTGTGGATTCAAAGGGTGGCACTTGAGGACCTAGAGAGTCACAGGTTCTCCACCCCTGTACCTAGGATTTAACTATCTTTGCTGTAGCTCAAATGTTAAATGCCACAAAGCCTTACTCTTTTAGTCATTAGGAACGCTTCCACTTGATTTCCCTAAGGGCATGGCAAACGGGTTAATGAGGCCATTGAATTAGGTCATTCAATATGTGTATGTATCACTAACAGGACAGAGAGACTTACTTTTTTCCTCATATGGCAAAATACAAAAGAGAACCTTGAAGGATCCAGCTCATATAACTCCAACTCATATGCTTATAATAACAGCTGACATTAATATAAAGCTCTAAAGTTTACAAACTACTTCACATACGTTATTTAATCTTTACTGCAACTGTGTGAAGTAATAATGATAATGATAATAATATAACTAGTATTTATATAATGCTTTAAAATTTGTGAAGCACTTTATGAATATTATCTCATTTTATCTTTACAATAATCCTGGGAGATAGGTGTGATTATTATCCCCATTTTATTGTTGTAGATACTGAGGCAGATAGAGATTAAATGACTTGTCCAGGGTCAAACAACTAGTAAATTCAGAGACCAGATTTGAATTCCTGTCTTTCTGACTTCAAGTTCTGCACTCTATCAGCAATATTTAGCTGCAGGTAGGTAGCTCCTACCATTAGCTGTATTTCACATATGAGAAAACTGAGACTCAGGGAGCTTGTTTTTTGCCTAGTTCACATTCCAAGTAAGTAATAGCTATGAGACTTAGTTCCACATCTTCAGACTACAACCCTGGCATTTGTTGTATTACACTAATTGCTTATTGCTCAAATTCATTAACTTGATTTTGCTGACTATCATAATTTGAGATACTGTTCAATGAGTTTACATGAGTTTAAATGCAGAGATTTTGGCTGATCTAAGTCTTCCTTGGGGCTAAACTGGAAGAGCAGGTGTATTCTCTCCTCTGCCAAGCTGTAGGATCGATGCTAAGAAAAAAACAATGTTGATTTGGAAAGAATTAGACCCTTGGGACTAGGGGTAGTAGTCACGTGAGTAGGGAAGGGGGTAGGGTAAGGGTACCAGAATGGACTAAGTGAATGACTTTCTTCTATCAGCTGTCTGCAGTGCCATGCAGGGAAGCTAAGAAAACTAATTATATCACTGCTATACCATTCCAGCCACTGCATGCCATCTAACCTAATGCCAGTTTAGTATCTTTGTTTTCCTTGACCAAATATCTAGCAACCTCTCCAAGGATCAGGATTGTAGGTTATGCACGCAACAAGGTCTTCTGAGGTTAATAATAAGAAGAGTTGTCCTACTCACCAATCAAATTGTCACTTTTGACTAAGCAAGAGTCATCAGTCTGCTGGGGTATCCTTTGGCAAGGCAAATCTGAAAGACAGAAGAAGAGAAAGTCAATGTGAAAGGTAGAACTTTGCCTTGGAATTAGACATGAATAAATGCTGTGCTCATATCTTTCCATTTGGATAGTTCCAATATTGGAGAATCTCTACGAATAAGAAATCCAGGCAAATATCCAGGGTGCCATATTACAGAAGAAGTCTATTGGAATATTGGGTAGTGGTATACCAATCTCTTCCCTCTCTTGTCCACTCTCCCCTCCCCCCATTCATCATTATTTATATGCCTCAGTCAACAAGGAAAAATGCTTAAGTGATCTTTTTTTTTTTATTAGCCTAAGCCAGGATTGTTGGTCCCCGAAACCCCTCTTGAACTGTTCTCTTCCCAGTACATCTTGTACATGCTATCAGACTTTTTCCCTTATACACAAATTTAATCATGACTCCCCTCTGCCCCAAACCCTTCAATGGTTCTCATTGTCAACTGGATAAAAAAATAAACTCTCCATCCTGGTATTTGAGCTACATTTTAACCAGACTCTTCTTTATCTTGCTAGGCAGCCTTATCTCATATTTCTCTGGAGTCAGAACATTCATATCCCACCTCTGACAATAATTGTGTAATTCTGAACAAGTCACTTAACCTACTGAGGCCTTAGTTTCTTCAGCGATGTGAATGATATAAGGTCAGATTTGATTAATAGCCTCTTATCCCTGGGGTTTGGGCTAGCCTCTGTCTGTCCTCTGTGCTTAAAATGCTTACCCTTCCTCATTTTCAGCTCCTAGGTTCCTTGAGTTCCTTCAAGACAACTCAACTCCCACTTTCTGCAGAGGGAATTCCAGATTTCCTTTCATCCCCTCTTCCCTCCAAGATTACCTTTCCTTTACTCTATATATCAGGCATATGTAGGTTCTGTTTTTGTTTTATTTTTGTTTTATTTTTTTTGCAGGCTGTCTCCATTAGAATGTGAGCTCCTTGAGGGCAGGAAAGATTTTTGCCTTTCTTTATTTCCCCAGTACTTAGCATGGTGCCTGGCACACGGTAAGTGCTTAATACTTGTTGACTAACTGTTGTTTGCAAAATCTATATTGTTGCATCTAATACTTTCCTACCTCTGTGCTTTGGTTCTTACTCTCCATGTATCCATCCTGATAGCATTCAAATTCTACCTGTCGTTCAAAGCTTATATCCAATGCTTCTGTCTCTCTGAAGCTTTCTCTCATGCTCTCAGGCTTGGGAGAGTTGAGGGCAGATTAGGTAGAGAGTATTGTATTGCTTAGCAGCCATGGTCAGGTAGCACACCACTCAGGGTAGGAGGCTTCTGGGTTTGGATGGGCCCTAGAGGAGCACTGCAGTTTACACAATTGTATGGATACCAAGACAGCAGATCAGTGATTAGAGTATATTAATCAAACTTGGTTTTCTATCCCTTTTCTGACTCAGTCATTTTCTGAGTTCCTTTTAGGTTGTTTCAAGAAGTAGGAGGGAGAGGACACTTGATGATAAGCTCCTAGAAAGAGCCATAATCCCTAGCATAATTCCTTTCTCATATTAAGTACTCAATAAATATTTGTTGAATGAGATATATGAGAGAAAATATCACCCCAAACCCAGCTACAGATTTTAATGAATACTTACCACATGCTCATGATGCCATGGGATGGTCAATGAACAACTCAGTAGAAATGGGGGTCGGTGTGCTTGTGGAAGGGCACAAGATGAAGTGGTGAGGGTGAGCACGAGTGCTTTTTTGAGCACTTTTCCTTGAGAATAGGGTGATCTTTTACTTGTATCTGACCTCTCTGTCCAGGACTGTTGTGATTCTCAATGAAAGATTAACATGCACTTAGTAAGTGCCAGACACTATGCTCAATAGCTAGGTGGACAGTGGATAGAGCTTTAGGTCTGGAGTCACAAAGATCTGAATTCAAATTTGGCCTCAAATACCTCCTAGTTATGTAAGCATGGGTAAGTCACTAAACCTTTGTCTGCCTCAATTTCCTAAAATGGATAATAAAACACGTACCTCCCAGGGTTGTTGTGAGGATCCAATGAGATAATAGTTGTAAAGGACTTAGCATAGTTCCTGGAACATTGTAGGCATTTAATAAATGATTGTTCTTTTTCCTTCCCCTTTCTCTACCTGCCATTCTAGTTATTAGGCTAGGGAAGACCCATATGCTTTTGTGAAGCATCCACTTTCGTTTTTAATAATTGGTTTTGGAAAGTTGTAGGAATGGGAATGTCTTCTTTACACCAGGGTTTCTTGATGTTTCTCAAAGTAATTTGCAATTCAATTGTATCTTCATTTTGTATGAAATTTTGCAGCTATTTGGAAGATGGGGGAGAAGAGCTAAATTGCATCCTACTGGTTTTACTTTGCATCAATAAAGAGACTGTTGATCTGGTTCCATAATTAGTTTCTGTTTTCTAAAAAGGCCCTAGGAGGGAATTGAGAGAGTGACAGTTGAGTCCCCTGTACTCAATAACTCTTTTCAATAGAAAGCACCCAACACAAAGTTTATCTAGTTGGGGTTGGGGCTCTATTTTTTCTCCTTTTATAAATATCATTCACAATATATTTATTAAGGAATTATGGCTCCCTCTAGGAGCTTATTGTCAAGTGTTCTTTCCCTCCTCCTTCTCCTAACAACCTAAAAGGAACTCAGAAAATGACAGATTCAGAAAGGGGATGTAAAACCAATTTTGAATAGTACATTCTCATCACTGCTCTGCTGTATTGGTATCTGTACAGTGAAGGGAGAATCTGAGGATCCAGGTCACAGCCTTATTCCTCTCTACTCCTTCTTGTATCAGGTTTTAGTGCACAGGACTGGCTCACGAGTTCTATACTTACCCCAGTTCTCTCCCATCCATATTCACTGAATCTTCTCCTCAACATTCTAAGCTTCCACTATCAAATTTCTCTCCTTGCCCTAGATCTACTCATTCCTGTCCAACCAATGAATCATTCTTTCTGTTCCTCACTGATTCATGAACTCTCAACACTCAACAGAAATATTTGCTTTCCACTTGGTTTTCTCTTTCCCCCTCCACACTAAGACCATTTTCAAACTTCCAAAATAGATAATCCCAGAACTGAGGACATACCCTCATGTCCTTAAATAGGTTCAGGGAATCTCAAGCAGCTGCATGCCCCTACAGGCTTGCAGAAATAGAAGTTCCTCCTTTTCTGAATGGCCTCATAAATTGAAATTCAGAAGAGGGAGATATCACTTCCAGCTAGGGTGCTCAGGGAAGTTATATGGGGGAATTGGCACATTAATAGACAAGTTTCAAAGGACTGATGAGATTTTCGATGGGTAGAAAATGGGCTTAAGGGAGATAGGCATTTCAAGTTGAGGGAATGGACTGGATGGAGGCACAGAGGTGGTAAAAACACAAAGGATGTTTCAGGGATAGTGAAAAGACTAGTTTAGCTGAAGCAGAGAATTTATGTAGGGTTTAAGTGGGAGATTATGATAGAAAGAAAGATAGAGGTCAGATTGTATAAGGCATTGGATGGTAGGCAAAGGGTCACGCTGACAATACAGGAGGCAGTTAGGTGACACAGTGGGTAGGGTGCTGGGCTTAGAGTCAGGAAGCCCTAAATTGGAATCCTGTCTCAGATACATACTAGCTGTGTGATCTTGAGCAAGTCACTTAACCTCTCAGTGCCTCAGTTTGCCCACCTATAAAATGAGCATATTTCACAGGATTGTTATGAGGATCAAGTAAGATAGTATATATAAAGTGCTTTGCAACCTTAAAGTACAATATAAATGTTAGCTTTTATTGGGTGAATTTTCCCATCTCTTCTATCATCTTTTGCTGATTGTTGAATGACCAGCAATAACCATGAATGGATTGTTGACTCTGCTAGAATAAAGTGGCCAGATTGAGAAGGAGACTGAAGATCATTCTATAAAGGGATTCATTTAAGGAAGTGTAGATGCTTAGACTTGAAAAGAACAGATTTAGAGGGCCAAGAGAGCAATCTTCAAGTGTCTGAAAATATGATAGAATAAGAGACTTGTTCTGCTTGGAGTCAGAGGAAAGAATTAAGAGCAAAGGGTGAAAGTTGGAGAGAAGCTATTTAGGCTCGATTTAAGGAAAGCCTACCTAAAAGGGGGAAAACTTCCCTATGTGAAAACTCCTTCCACCAGATGCAGATCAGCAAGGTGTTAGAGATTGATTTGAGAAAGCTGCCTGGGGCACTGAGATATGCATTGTCCTGCCGTGACCACACAACCATATGCATCAAAGGAAGGACTTGATCTTGAGTTTTCCTAACTCCATAGCTGACCCTCCATCCACCACACTACACAAACTCTCTCCTAATAATCAGGACCATCATTCATGTGGGAGCAAATTCCCCATCACTGGAGATCTTTAAGCAGAGACCAAATGACTACTTGTCAGCAAGGCTGTGTAAGGCATTCCTGCTTGGGGATGCGCTGGGCTAGAATCTCTCCTACCTCTGAATTTTTGTGATTTTGTGATATATTCACCTTGAAAGATCATTTCTCTGGGCAGGAGATATTTTCAATTGAAAGTCTGCCTTCAAATGCCTTTTTCAAGCTTCAGCAAAATGCAAGAATGCTTGGTTAAGTTGGAGATATAGTCTCTGCCATTGTTAGCCAGGAGAGTTGAATGAATAGGCGTGTGATCAGCATTTTATTGTTTCTGTCTGCACCATCCCTTAACACATCTTTCATCAGAAGCATGTCTGTGCTTCGTAAATAATGTTTTGCACAGATGCTTATCCTGGATTAATACTTCTCTCAAACCCTTCACAAACTGGAAACTGCCTTTTTCTGCTTAATATTCCAATCCATGCAAGACTGTGTCCCCACAAAATTCTATTTACGACATTCCTCCAAAAATCCCTGATTTCCTGGATTCTTAAAAATGAATGATTCTTTTTTTTTTTTTTTTTTGCATCATGGACCCCTTCTCAGAATAACGTTTTTAAATAATTGAAGGAAATGCTAAATTTCAGCCAGAGGTCAGTGGAAATAAAGATATAT